GCTCCCTAATATGCTGAAGTGTAGCTACCCGGGCCTCCAGCTGCTTGATTTTCTCTTCCGGTAGGGCTACAAATTTGCACTTGGTGTAGATGAAGTTCCCCACATCTCTTGGCAAGAAGACAAACATCCCACAAGTGTTGCAGGTGGCTGCAGCAACTCCCCCAGTGTCCATATTGAGAAATCTTAAGTAAGCACTGAAACAAGACTGGATTTCTCCCTCAAAAAGTCCCCTGGTAAAGACACACATAAAGAGCTCCTGTTCTCTTGGTTTTTTCCCCAGGCTCTGTCAGTGAGCTGAATCAACTGGATTTCTAACTCTACAGAGAGCTCCTGGATGCTACCTTATTCTGGAGGCAAGTCTCTGTCTCTCTTCCTCCACTCAAAATGGCTGCCCAGAAACTGCTTTCCTTCTCCTTCCTGGCAGGAACAATGGCTTGGATGAGCCTCTCTTTAGTGTTCAGATTTATGTCTTTATGATCCTGTCCATTTCTTTCATAGCTGCCCATCCTAATCCTAGTCTGCTTCTGATTTCTTGATTGCAGTCTCCATTCCAATCAATATTTGACCCAAGATATAGGAACTCTTTAACTATTTAAATTGTTTCTGTCTGGGGTAAATTCTTGTAGAGTTTCCGTGGTCATTTTTTAAAAATGTTCAGCATGAAAAAAGATAGAGGCATACTATCTGATAAAAACAGAGCCAGTATGGTGTATTGGACTGAGTGTTGGACTATGATTCTGGAGACCAGGGTTCAATTCTCATCTCAGCCATGTAAACCTATTGGACAAGTCACATGCTCTCAGCCTCAGGGGGAAGCAATGGCAAAACCTCCTCTGAACAGATCTTGCCATGAAAACCCTATGATGATTTTGTCTTAGGTTTCCATAAGTCAGAAACAACTTGAAGGCACACAACAACAATTTGATTTTTAAAAAACCCTTCTACCTCCTCTCTCTGGCTAGAAGAACTTGGATTTTGTCATCCCCCAGCAGGGGGCAGAAGAGACTCACCTGCTGCAAGGTGTGAGGTGTTGGGTTTTAATTCTCAAATTACATTTGCTAAAAGGGGTGTGTTGTGATTCATGAATGCAATGGCTGTCTCTGTGGTCTCATACAAATGTGAAGGCCCTGGGGTGGGGGAGAGGAAAAATTAAGGGGAAAAAGCCCACATTTTTTTTAAAGGGAGGGGATTTTTTTTTCTCCAGGAAAAACAGGGGAAAGATTTTCCCTGTTTCCCCCCCAGTTCTCCCTACTGGATTCCATCATGTCAGGTGGGCTGCATATTTGAGAGAAATGTTTCCTTTCCAGCTGGACATTTGTTGTTGTGTGCCTTCAAATTGTTTCTGACTTATGGCGAACCTAAAGCAAACCTTAGATTTGTCACTTTTTATACCTGCAGGGCACCTCCTGTACTTCCAGGAGGTGGATGAGAGTGTGTGGCCTAGTGTTTGAGTGTTGGACTACCACTCTGGAGACCAGGGTTGGATTCCCAGCTTGGCCATGAAACCTAATGGGTGATCTTGGGAAAGTCACACTCACTCAGCCTCAGGGAAAGGCCATGGCAAACTTCTTCTGAGCAAAACCTGTCAAGAAAAGCTCATGATAGGGTTGCACAAGTTGGAAATAACCTGAAGGCACACAACAACAAAGGCAAACCCACCATGGCAAGTTTCTTCAGAGGGGATTTGCCATTGCCATCCTCTGAGGCTGAGACAGTGTGACTGGGCCAAGATCACTCAGTGGGTTTATATGGCCAAGTCAGGATTGCAACCCTGGTCTCCAGCATCCTAGTCCAACACCCAAATGACTACACCACACTGGCTCTCACACACATTTCCTGAAAATATATCCAGGGTAGGCATGTTGGCTCTATAGCAAAGAACAGTATCATCCAAAATCCACAAGACAGGGATACCTTATTGGGCCAACCAAAATGCACGTTACCCTCTTCTGTATCATTTTTAATCCCTTGGAGCTTGGAGAGCTTGCAACATGTATAAATTGACATTTTGGTGCAACTTGTTTTGCACAGTTAAGGTGCTATAAGATCCGTGTGCCTACTTAGAAAAGTTGCTTTTGGACAACATCCAGAATCCCTCAGCTAGCAAGACCACCTTTTTTCTAAGTTCCAAAAATCCAAGAAGGAATTCTCCCCATAAAAACTTGCTTATTGTTAACTGCCCTTCAGTTGATCTTGACCCATGGCAACCCTGTGGATGAGACATCTCCAAGACTCCCTGTCCTCCACTGCTGTGCTTAGTTCCTGCAAACTCAGACCTGTGACCTCCTGAATAGAGTTCATCCATGTAGCATGTGGCCTTCCTCTCTTCCTACTTCCCTCCACCTTCCCCAGCATTATTGTTTTTTCCAATGAGTCCTCCCTTCTCATGATGTGTCCAAAGTATGACAGTCTCAGTTTTGTCATCTTGGCTTCCATAGAGATTTCAGACTTGATCTGCTCTAGGACCCATTTGTTTGTCCACAGGATCCTCAGCACTTTTCTCCAGCACCGCATCTCAAATGAGTTAATTTCCTATCTAATTGTCCAGCTCTCACAAACATACATCGTAAAAGGGAATACAATGGCTTGTACAATTCTAACCTTTGTGTTCAGTTGTCTATTTTTGCATTTTAGGCTCTTTTCTATTCTTTCATAGCCACCCTCCCCATTCTTAATCTTCTAATTTCCTGGCTGTAGTCCCCATTTCTATCAATGTTTGATCCCAAGTATGGGAACTCTTTTACTACTTCTGTTTCTTCATTGTCTAGGTTGAATTTACCTATAATCTCTGTGGTCATTATTTTTGTTTTCTTTATGTTCAACAGTAAGCCCACCTTTGCACTTTCTTCTTTGATCTTCTTTAACAGTTGTAGTTCCTTAGTAGTACAGTGCTCCCTCCATATTCACTGGGGTTTGGGGTGAATGTGGAAAAACCTCAACTAAAAAAAAAACACTATTCTTTTTATCCAAGAGAACACGTCTCTAGGAATCTCCAGGTCCTCTAGTGCAACTCTATAGTCAACATCTGTCAGAAGCTGATTATAGAATGATGCTGGAGGACCTACAAATGCCTAGAGAAGTGTTTGAGATGTTGTGCTGGAGAAGAGGATGTCATGGACAAAACTTTTAGGTTCTCCAGGACAACTGTATGGTCAATTTCTGGCAGAGTTGCACTGAAGGACCTACAGATTCCTAGAGAGAACATAATAATCAAAACTGCAAGTAATCAAATCTGCAAAAGTCAAATCTGCAAATGTAGAGGGCCAACTGTATTTAGTACAGTGGCCCCTCCACATTCTCTGAGGTTAGGGTTGAAGGACCCCTGTGAATGTGGAAAAACCACAAATTAAAAAACAGCAGCACTATTCTTTTTACCTGAGTGAACACCTCTCTAGGAATCTCCAGGTCCTCCAGGGCAACTCTGTGGTCAACATCTGCCAAAAGTTGATCATCGAATCATGCTGGAGGACCTACAAATGCCTATAGAAATGTTTTCTCTAAGAACTTGTAGGTTCTCCAGCACAACTGTATGGTCGATGTCCAGCAGAATTACACTGGAGGACTTAGAGATTTCTAGAGAGAGGGTCTTTGTAGACTGCTAGAAATAGTGCACATATAGAGTCCACTATAACTGCCCTGGCTCAGTGCTAGGGAATCATGGGAATTGTATTTTTTTCTGAGACATTGAGCCTTCTCTGTCAGAGAACTCTGGTGCCACAATAAACTACAGTTCCCATGATTCCCTAGCACTGAGTCAGGGCAGATAAAGTGGACTCAATTTGCACTATTTCTGGCAGTCTGCAAAGGCCCAGAATATATTAATCAAAACCTGTACATAATCTCCACATTCTTCCCCCTACCATCTATCTACTTTTTCATACCATCTTCTACTTTCTTGTCCTTCCTCCTAAAAGTTATCTTCCATACTCCTTCCAAACTCTTCCATTCATTCCTACTTCCTCCTTGACTTCCCTGGATTATTTGATAATATAATTGTCCTCCTTATGTCTTTAATTCAGTGAATCTTTCATAAACCAGTTATATAACTGGGTATCACAAAATTTTAACAACCATAGATTGAAGCTTTAGTTAATTTGTTTATGTGGAAATTTAGAATTTGGAAATTTAGAATGAATGAGGAAGGATACTGAGAAGAGGAAAGAAGGAGAAGGGATGGATAAGTGGAGTGAAGGAAGAGAGGGTGGAATATAGAGAGAGGTAGTAGGGGATGAATAAACAGAGATGGGAAAGAAGGAAAGATAAAAGGATGACATAGGAACATGCAGGAAGTATAACAAATTTGGTAACTAAATAATTATGAAGTATTGCTGCAACTAAGATGTTTGAGTATGTATACAATTAGATATTTATGCAAACAGAAGATAAAAATATTGACCAAATCAACTAAGGGCCTTTGCAGACTGCCAGAAATAGTGCAAATTGAGTCCACTTTTAGGGTTAGGGTTAGTGCTAGGGAATCATGGGAATTTTTTTTCTGAGACATTGAGCCTTCTCTGTCAGAGAGCTCTAGTGCCACAATAAAATACAGTTCCTATGATTCCCTAGCCCTAACCCTAACCCTTAAAGTGGACTCAATTTGCACTATTTTTGGCAGTCTGCAAAGGCCCTAAATGAATGTAACAAATTTAAAAATGCAACATTTGTGTATGAAAATAGTATGTTTTAAATTTTAATAATAAAAATTATTTTTTTAAAAAACCCCTGTAAATAATCAAAGCTCTAAAAGTCAAAGCCACAAATGTGGAGGGCCAACTGTATTCAATAGTTCCTTATTAGTACTACTACAACAACTACTACTACTAATAATAATAATAAACAAACCAAACATGCCCTTGAGGATTTGCCTAGTCTAGTTCAAGAGAGCCAGAGAAGGAGTATAGACCCCACACAAGGGCCTTCCAATTCCCTCGGACACCCCCCAGGTGCAAAATGGTATCTGTCTTGTGGATTATGGATGCTACTGTACCTCTCCTGAAATGCATCTGATCTGAGGAAGTAGACTGAAGTCTAGGAAAGTTCATGCTGCCAATTTTATTGCTTTCAGTTTAGGGGGGTTGCAGACTGCCAGAAATAGTGCAAATTGAGTCCACTTTTAGGGTTAGGAGTGCTAGGGAATCATGGGAATTGTTGTTGTTTTTTTTCTGAGACATTGAACCTTCTCTGTCAGAGAGCTCTGGTGCCACAATAAAATACAGTTCCCATGATTCCCTAAGTAGGGGAGCCCTGCAGGTAGACAAGGTGGCCATTTAAAATAGCCACTAGGGGGCTGAGGCAGTTCCCTTGGTGGCCTGGGGGCTAGTGGGCGTTTGGTCACCTGCAGGGTCATCTGGTGGCCCTTGGCAAGCCCAGCTCCTCGAGGAAGAGGAACCATGAGGCTGCTGGCTAAGAGAGAGCAGCCACCAGGGCAGCTTACTGAGAGGGAAATGCCTTCCTTGCAGCCCCTTTCACCATAGCTGGTTGGGAAGGAAAGTGGACCCCATCCCTGTTTCCTCAGGTAAGGGGGAAGAGCAAGGGCTGAGGAGAGGGAAAAGAGGCAAAACCCTGGCCCCCAAATCCAGCCCTTCCAATTTTGGGGGGCTATTATTGGGCTTGGGGTGGTCCTGAAAAGAGATTCTTAGGCTCTTGGGTCGGTTCTGTGCTCCCCCTCTTGTCTCTCATTTGTGGGGTCTCCAAAGCCTCAAGAATATGTTTGGTTCATTATTGTTACTATTGGGTGGGGGAACATTGTTTTAACTCAAGTTTTGCAGGGAGGGGAATTCCTTTTGGGGCTTTTTTAAAATGAACTTATTTAAAAATGGTGGCTGCGCTGGCTCTGAGGGATTCTAGATTTTGTCTAAAAGTTACTTTTCTAAGTAGGCAAAGGGATCTTGTAACACCTTTAAGACTTAACTGTGTGAAAGAAGTTGTAGCCTAAGCTTTGGTAGGCTTGGTCAGGTCTCCTGCCTCAGCCCTGGAAACCCATTGGCTGACCTTGTGAAAGTCACACTCTCTCAGCTTCAGAGGATGGCAGTGGCAAACCCCCTCTGAAGAAACTTGCCAAGCAAAACTCATGATAGGTTGGCCTTTAGGGTCCCTATAAGTCAGAAATGACTTGGAGGCACGCAACAACAACAGTTCTCCTCAGATACATGGAATGAACTGATGGAAATTACTAGTAGATTGAATCTTGGAAGGCTTATGCTACAACTTCTTTTACACAGTTAGTCTCAAAGGTGCTACAAGATCCCTTTGCATACTGATATTCCAGACAAACATGGCTGTGTCTCTGAATTCTGCTTTTCAAAGCTGTACAATCGGCCCTCCTTATCCACAGATTTTTTATCCACAGATTCAAGCATCCACAGCTTGAAAATATTCAAAAAAAGTATACATTCCAAAGAACAAACCTTGATTTTCCATTTTATATAAGGTTTATAATTTTACTTGCTGTTGTATTTAATGGGACTTGAGCATCCATGGCTTTTGTTATCCATGGGGGT